AGATAGATAGATAGATAGATAGATAGATAGATAGATAGATAGATAGATAGATAGATAGATATATCAGGCGATTAAAGACAGAAAAAAGCCAGATTTCTAAATACTGCAAAAAAACAGGTAAGTTGCTTTAACATTTATAAGAAGTCTTAAATCAGGTTCTATTTAAGGTAAAAAAAGGACACCTTATCTCTTTTGAAATTCACTTGATAATTCTTCTGATCAAACTAAAGCATCTTTAAGGTTCCCTTCAGTAAATTAGCAGTAAAACAAACATAGAAATTGTTCAGGGCTATAAAATATTTGATTTCTACAATACAGCCCATCTCTTGCTTTTTTATTTACTACACTTTTATTCCACCCAATATGTGAATATCTCTAAATGGATTACAAGTCATTTATAACCATAAATGTTTATATTTTTAAAGCAAACAAAAGCAGCAAAATATAACAATACAAATAGCAAAGTACAATTAATATTAGTTCAGGAAAAATGTAAAATATAAATCCACTAGTTCACAGTTATAACCATTTAATCAGAGTACAAATGCCAGGGGAAAGAACAATGCCTCTAAAAATGTATTAACTCAAGAGATTACCAACATTCCCAAAGGAGAATAATCCAAAAGTCCCACTACCAAAGGGTCTTCATGTGGAGCTACTGGTTTTATTTCCCTTGAAGGATGCATCTAAAAGATGCCCACCAAGAATCACTAGAAAACATGAGCAGGCGCATATGGGAAGATATATTTTAAAGATATATTCAACTGATGTCATTCAAAGCTTTAATAAAAACACCACCACCAAAATCTTAAATCGAGATCAGAAATATATCAGCATTTAAAATAGCTGAATAACAGACACATCACTAAACATAAACTCCATTTCTCAAGGATTTTCATCTCAAAAGATTCACTACTTTACAAGTTTCAAAATTATATAAATGATGTAATGAAAGTAAAAATGTGCATGTACTTGCTACACTTTTATAGATTATCCTATTTTAATATGCGACTGTATCTCCTGTACTTACTACTAGTAATTAAGTTTCGGTAGCAGCTAAAATATTTTAGGGAGACAAAATCTCCCCAAAATACATTATATTTTGATGGTTGTCTATAATTTGACCAATGTCATACACATTAATAATATAAGGAAATGGGAATGCATTTGCTATACAATTTTGTTCGAATCTAAGTTAGGCAATATCACATCCTTTTGATACAAAATATGCAACACCACAATGAAAATGACAAATAGCATTTTTAGTCCACATGCATCCAAAGGATGACACACTGAAGCTGCTGAGCTGATAGAAAGTAAACATGGTTTGACACTACTTAAAGCATGCTTATGCACTGTATTTTCTCCACACTTGCAATAATTTTAAAAAAGCAATTTCTGGGGGCTAAGACAGCTATCCTTTTTTGCAGCACGGTACAATATAATAACCTTATCAAGATTGCAGTTTTGTAAATGCATTTCCTGTACATTACTACTACTTACTTATAATAGAGTTCTCCCATATCATACAGCTATTAGTGCATACACTAACTATGTATTACATACCATGTAAACAGAATATATGCTTACCCAAAACATGACTATCCTATTCTAATTTTTTACATATACAGTATAGGAATATATGCGACCTTACATGTAAAACTATGTTTAAAAAAGCTGACATATGTTAAGGGAAATAGATGCGAACTTAGTAAACCAGTGGGCCTCAACCTTTGTGGCTTGACAGTCCTGCTGAGGGGAGGGAACTGTTGTGGTTCACCGGCAGTCGGTGTGGACAGCAGCGGTATCGGACAGTGAGATGGAAAGGGAACCAATCAGGGAGTCTGGTGAAGACTTGGACAAAGGTCCTGCATCAGATGCAGGGATGGGGCCAGGACCATCTGAGAGTGGGGTGCTGCCTTCGGAGTCTGGCAGCAGTGAAGCAGAGGAGTCCGGAGAGCCTGTTCCCAGTGTGTGTGTGCGCAGTGCTGCTAGAAGCTGAAGCAGCAGGGGCAACTCAGGAGTAAGACTGGGAGGTGATTGCCCCTCCCATCAGGGATAAAAGTCAGTCCTCAATGATGAAGAGCTTTGCAGAAAGCAAAGCAGTTCGGTAATCTCTGAGTTCTTCGTGAAGCTCTGTACTCTAGTTGTTTTTTTCTGGGTTTTTGGGTTGGTTTATGTTTAGCCTTAATTGGACTTCTATTTCTTGGCAGCATTCTACAGCACTGAAAAGCATGCTCTTATCTGCAGGAACTGTGTCTAATTAGTTTTGGCTGGGAATGCAAGTAATTCCCAGCATCGCATTAAAAAAGCTTTTACTTTTAAATTCAGTTTATGTTTTATTAATTTTGACGAAGCCTGGGTCAGAACAGGAACTGGGGCATGCGAGTGATGGGCCAGAACACGCACATGCACAGCTCCAGTCATGCAAGAGAGAAAAGAAGCCCCCAGGGTGTGGTCTTGTAGCCTTTTACTCATGCGGCCCAGTTGAGAAAAGGCCATGGCCCAGTAGTGGGCTGTGGCCCACAGGATGGGGATCCCTAAAGTAAGCTATACCCAAAGTAGTTTTTATTTCTATTTTCACAGAATATTTGCAGTTAAGTGCACAAGATTACAAAACATCAGGAAACACTAAAAAAAAACAGAACTTAGGTTTGACCATTTTTATTTATCTTAAGTTTATATGCCAATCCCCTTAAAAACGACCAGATTACACAGAATCAAGTGGTTTTACTAGAAGTTTGACATTATTCATATTTACAGGGCCCCAAAATATAAAATTATAAATAATAAGATTAGTCAGGTATGTTAGATGAATGATGAATCAGACTTTAAACTAATTGGAATATTATTGTTGCCAAAAGTGATATAAAAGAATACATTTGAAGGGGAAAACGTTTTCCACAATCTACTTCCAAAAGTCTTGCTCATTATTCAAGACTGTAAGGAATTAAAAAACTTTTAAAGATGGATATTTTAATTCTGGTAAATTATTCTCTTTCATGCTAAGAGCAAATAGGCCACGTAGATGTAAGTTAAATACACAGAAATTTGTAGGATAATAACAGAATTCTGTATTGATATAGATTTTTCTCTTTCTAAATTTCTCTGCATATCAAGAAATATCTAAAAAGCAAGCTCTACTTGCTGCTGAAATATACATTATTAAGCTGACTCTAATATGTCTTCTAGTTGCTTTCAAAACATATCACAGCAACCGGGGGGGGGGGGGAACGGGGGACCAAGAACATCTTTTGCACTTTTGTCCTATCAGATCTGTAATGTTTGTTTCCCTTATTCTATATCATGTTGAACTTTATCAATATTTATTCTATGCCAGCATATTACAAATGTTCCCTAATAAAAGTCATCTGATACCAGTAATGGACATAAGAATTGGATCTAGGAAATTATCAACAAACCATTATCTGAAATAAAAAGAAAAGTCACCCAGGTGCCACAGAATTCATAAGTAAAGATTTTAGTGATCAGTTTAGAATTATTTGCAACTGATGATTCTGATGAGAGGAATCTTTTAAGGATAATGTATCAAATATTCAGATACATCTTAAGATACATTAACAGGATCAGAGTCCAAATCACGGAAAGTTAATTGACCTGGTCAAACCCCATTTCAAAAAGAACAATGATAATTGAAACAGGTTCAGCAGAGAGCTACCAAGACAGTAATGGATCTGAAAACCAAATATTCATGAACAATCTAGTTATGTTAATCAAGGGGAGATTTGACAGCTATCTTCTATATCTGAAAAGTTCTCATATGGAAGAGAGAGTGGTCTTATTCTCTCTGGTCTCAGAACAGAGGACAAGAGCCAGTGGATTGAAATTATAAGGAAGAAGACTGAGGCTAGATATCAGGAGGAACTTCCTAAGTGTACAAACTGTGTCCTAAGTGCAATGTACTGCCGTATTGCATGGTTAATTCTCTTTCACTAGAGATCTTCAAACAAGGACTATAAGGTTATCTATCAGATATTCTAATAGATCCTGAACACGTTCCAAGTGATTGGACTAGATGAATTCCATGGCCCTTCCAATTCCATGCTTGTAAGACTATTTTTATTGAGATTGTTATGGGAAAGGTATTCCAGACTTTTTTTAAAAAAAGTCACTGAAGACAAACTTTTACTAATTCTTGAATTTTATGTTAGAACAAGTTTATCTTCTGTCTTTCAAAGGTATCTAACCTCAATATTAATGTAGAGCTAAAACAGGTGATTTGCAACAGACTTGCTAAACCTGATCCTGAAAATGTCAACCCAGGAAAAAGGCAAGTGAATAGACCATATGCCTCAAATTCCTCTTAACATCAAAAATATAATGCTAGCAAGAAGCAGATCACCTGATCAATAATTATAGAAACATTAATGTAAATCTAACGAACTTTTAAAAATTGAAAAAACCCACCTGTGGTATAATCTTTTAGGCGCAGGTTTTTTACTGGTGTTCCATCACAGGCTTGGAAAGCATTGAGAATCTATAAAAACAAAGTGTCCAGTTAAGTGGTAAAGCCTATATTATACTGAACATTTTAACACTGAATATTCATTCTGTTTGGCCCAAAACAATGATTTCACATTAATGGAAATGAAAATGGAAACCTATTGACAGTGTAAGCTAAAGTACCGATACATCAAAGTCTATGTCACAATAAATTCATTTTTGCTACAAGTTTGTGGAGGGTGCTCCCCTTCAATTACTCTAACATAGTGCAGATTGTCCTCATTCAGCCACCACTTGTCATCCATTAGAAGTTACAGCAGTGCTGAACAAGGGGACATAATCATTCCTCCAGCTATCTCTGCTAGTCATATGATTGCAATTCAGCCATTTGGAAAGGGTTCACCAATATGAAGGCTGCAATGTCCTACAATCACATGATTGCCAGTTGTGTCCTTCACTGCCAGCTATTGACAAGCAAAGTCAATGGGGAAGCGAGCAGATCACGAATGGGGACTACGTGACTCCGGGATCTTGCAACTGCCTTGGAGTCGCCTAACAATTGCAACTGGAATGGCTACAACTTCTGTCATAAGTAAACACAGTCATGTGATGTCATGGTTTATGATCGCATCACTTATCAATTACCATATTTTTTGGACTATAAGATGCTCTGAAGTATAAGATGCAGCTAGCTTTTGGGGAGGAAAACAAGAACAAAAAATCTGCCTCTGCCTCCCAGCAATTTGCCTCCTTGCAGCAAACAGCAAACAGACTGGTCAGCTTCAGCATAGCCTGATTTAGCACAAGCAGCTGATTGTCGGTTGGATTTGCCGACCGACAATCAGCTGTTCCAGTCTGCAGGGATCGCCATTGTCTATTGCTGTGTCCACATGCCCCATTTTCAGCCTCCGCATCCCGTTTTCAGCCTCCGCGCCCTCCATTTTTGGCCTGTTCTGATCCCTGCTGCCTGGAAAGGGCTGAAAATGGGGCATACGGAGGCCTAAAATGAGGCGCAAGGAGGCCAAAAACAGGATGCAGAGGCCGAAAATGGGGTGCCCGGAGGCAGCAATAGACAATGGCGATCCCTGCAGACTGAAACAGCTGATTGTCGGGAGACAGCTCCAACTGACAATCAGCTGCTTATGCTAAATCAGGCTGTGCTAAAGCTGACTAGGCTGTTTGCTGCAAGGAGGCAAAAGCTGAAGGGTGGGGGACAGCAGGTGGGCAAGGCTTTGGCAACAATTGCTGTATAAGACGCACAGATATTTCAACCATTTGGGGGGGGGGATGCATCTTATACACCAAAAAATATGGTACCAATCCCAATTACCACCCTTAAGTAAGCACTATCTATACTGGTTTGATCTGCTTCTGTACCATAGATTATAGTGTTCTGAAAAAGCTACGGATTGTTTAAGGATATTAAAAAGTTAATCTGTTTTAATTGTAAAATAAATACAGATTAGACAGTGAAGGAACTTAGAACAGCCCAGAAAAGACAAAGTCTTGTGATGAACACCAAACTATCCTGCTGAGAACCTAATTCTGCTTTTCATTAAACCAGGGCAAAACAAATGTGTCTTCTTCCTATTAAAGCATTGTAGTATTAAAAGAAATATGGAATATATGTAACTGGCACATTTCAATGTTTTAAGAAAAGTGAACATTAACTAGCTTTGAAACTTCATTAAAATTATGGAAATATGTCATAAATCACTATTAAATCAGCACAGATCTATTTTTCCAAATATAACTCCATTAACATCTTTATTAAAACAATGTTAAATAGTCAAAAGTAAACTGCAGGCAATTTTTTTTCTTTTCTCTGTACAGTCCCTGGACCCGCATCTAACTGCATTGTTAAATTCTGTTTTTCTATTATTTGGAATTGAAAACACAAAAGCTATAATATATAGTTAGTGTATCATCTACTACTAGATAAGTTTCATAAACACAACTTACATCATCTTTTGTAGCAGTTTCAGGCACTCTTCCTAGTCGAATCAACTTGCTTGGCTTGGTATCTTTGAGACAGGTTCTATAGTCCTGGTCCTTCAAAATAAAATTCAAAAGGATTTTAAAGTCAACAATGAAGTAGAGGAAAGATGCAACAAGTCAAACATAATTGAAAATGTGTAAATTCCTTTAAAATGTTACAATATAATCCATAACATTTTATCATCAAGAAGCTAAGACTGCATGTAAAAGATATGTCCACTAATAGGAAGCATCAATTTATAAGAAGCAAATTAGAACTAAAGAAATTAGACACATAAAGTTGTACGGAAGACTCAGTGTTATATTGATTAAAGTGTGAAATAAAGGCTTATAGGTTCAAATTCATCTTCAATCATGGAAGCTCACTTCCATGGATTTAGGCTGACTATCCCTCATGCCAATCAAATTGTTTTTATGAGAAAAACTTGGAACATAGGAAACTATGTTTATCATCTCAAACTCAAGAAAAGGCAAAATATAAATCCAATTAATGATCTCATGTTAGAATAGCTACACTACAATTTACAGATTTAATTATACAAGGACTGAGATGGTGTAAAGGATAATTAATTTCATTACAGCTCACAGCTTTGATTTTTAAAATATTATCATCTTCTAGTAAGCATTTTATAAATGTGAATTAAGACAGCAAATTTACAATAAATTGCATACCTGAAGATCTGGTTGAGAATCTTTACAAGACTTCCCATCAGCAAAAGTTTTGCCATGTTCATAGTCAAAGACCCGACATCCTGGAAGACGATGATCTACATCTCGATACTCAATGCCCCTGTAGTCTGTATCCTGCCTTCCAAGGAAATCCAGATCACTTTTTTCTTTTAGTCCCGGCAATTCAGCTACTTGCTCTTCTTTTGCAGAAATCTCCTGATTGCTAACAAAGCCCTGAGCAGGCTTATCTTGGTCCAGAAGTTTGGGAAGAGGATTGCGGCTATTTTGGTACTCTAGAGAAGATTCAGTCTTAAGATTTTGTTCTTGGGGTTTTTCTTCTTCTCTGGCTCTTGATTCTGAATGTGGCAAATCCTCATTCTGAATACTCAAAGAAGACCTGTCTCTAACAACTACAGTCTCTTCTATCTTGCATTCTCTATCTGCTAACTGTGCTGGAGATTGACTGTGATGGAAGTCTACAACGTTTGAGTCTGCTGAGAGTGTCTCCCTTTCTGCAAAATCCAGCGGTGGTGGGGCATCCCTACCCCTAAAATCCTGATCAGCCTGAGGTTTTGCCCTATTTCTGAAATTTGAGTGGGGTATATCTCTGTCTCTGAAGTCTGAATCAGCCGCACCCATATTTCTCAGATCTGTATCAGGTACATCTCTTTTCCTGAAGTCTGAATATGGTTGCTCTCTGCCCCTATAATCTTGTTCAGGCATGTCTCTTGCTCTAAAGTGTGGGTGTGATCCGTCTCTATTTCGGAAATCCAAATCAGATGTTCCCCTAGTACGACAATCTGATGAAGTATCATCTCTGCCTCTATAGTTCACTGTATGAGCTTCCCTATCTCTATAGTTCATCCGGAATGTATCCCTATTTCTATAATCCATAGGAGGAACATCTCCTCCACTATACTCCACAGCTTGGCCTTCTCTATCCTGAAAAGTTCCAGGATACATCTCCCTACCCCTAAAGTCTGGAAGGAGTGGTACCCTAGCTCTGAAGTCCAACTGTGAATCATCCCTACTCTGAAACTCTGAAGGAGAGTAATCTCTGCTTTCAAAGTCATGTATATGACCCTCCCCACCTCTGAAGTCACTATGTGGTCCATCTCTACCTCCAAAGCTGAAAGTAGATTCCTCTCTGCTCGCAAACTGAGGATTGAGGATGCCTGGGAGTCCCTGGATATCAAAAGGAAGTGATTCTCTGCCAGAGAAGTTGCCAGAGTGTCTTTCTTGAGCAAGACTATCAAGGGGAGGAGAGTAATCCCTGTTCCACCCGGGAGCAAATCTTTCTTCTTGGCTCCCACTGTAGAAATAAAGACAGTGTTATTCATAATGTCCTTCGAGTTTGTAATCTACACATCAGCATGTTCTTCTCTAACTTTAACAGAGATGTTCAACAGTAAGATCCGCAGAAGATAGTGGCGTTTGGTAGTTTAAGAGGTGGTAGTATACGACAGACGTGATAAGTAAACTTGCGCACTCTTATGTCACCATAATTCCCAGAAGAACTCAACATGGAATACCTGAAATATTAATGAGTTAAGGTAACAATCTACATAGTCTCACAATAAATTAAATTGGGAACTTTAGAGAGTTTAAGAGGCCACCATAATTATTTTGCATGCTCCTCAGCCAGGGAATATTCCTTAAACCTGGTTTTATCACCATTTTTTAAAAAAAATCAAAAGGAATTCTTATAAGCTCTCCTATAATAATGAATTCCTTGTTCAACAATCAAAGAAAAGGTTATTAATACAAGGCACTATTTCAATGTATGAGGACTTCCACTCTTGTCTTTCCAATGTTACGTACTACTTATTACCAGTTGGAACTGAAAGTATACTGCACCATTTTACAGCAAATTACATTTCATAAGTAATTTCACAATTGTATAAAGATGGAAACAGATAGTATTCTTGACAGTATTCCTTTGCTGGTAAAAAATTTTATTAAAGTGTTTGCTTTGGCAGGTGGTCTGAAGAATTTTATTTTACTCTTAACATAACATGATTTATTTAGGACACTTAACTCATTCCTAGAGAAAAGTGCACTTAATGTGTTTGAAATTAAGACTCAAAATTATCTCTGGTAAACTCAGCTTGCAAGAATTTGAGCAAATAATTTATTCAAATACACTAAGAACTATAAATATAAATGTTTTGTTGTTTCCTTTTATTCTTCTAGTGGAAGAATTGACCCTACTCCTGATACTGATGGTTTGTACAATTCCTTACTAAAACTAGAAGATCTTGAGTTACTAAATTGGAAGGATACGAATTCATAAAAATTTGAAAAAAAACCCTGAAGACAATTTTTCTTCCGAAACTGGTCCCTGGGGCCAGAAAGATTAGGGACCACTGGTATACATGATAAAAAAAAATAGCAATAAAACAGCATCAAATAACTTCAGTCTTTCATTTCCCCCACAACAGTCAATAATGTAATATTCTTTCCAGTATACCTGTTATATTGAAGAAAAGTTATTTACACTAATAGATATGATCCAATGATCAAAAATGATCAAGAATATGCAGCTACAGGTGGTCCTTGACTTATCACAACAATTGGGGACAGAGATTGTCATTTTAGATCAGCATGGTTGTAAAGCGAGATATTATTATAGCGATCCCAGCAATCCCCATTGTGGCCATTAATCAAAAATTGTGGATTGTTAAGCGACCAGTCAAGGCATTCAAGGCTTGGTCCCTCTCAATACCAAGCCTCAGTAAAGGAAAGGACTGTCTCCAACTTCTTCCACCCACCTACAGTATTTCCCTCCCATCTTTGCCCCTTGGCTGCTTGCCTCCTGCCCCAGCAGACCTTTCCCATCTTTTTTTTCCTGCTGCTGTTGAGATATGCCCAGCCCTTTCCACCAAAAAGCCCCTTTGCATAAAAGCAACAAAAGAAAGTCCCTTTGTACTAGGTTGGTAGGCTCAGCTAGGATGGGGCTTCCTGGCACACCATGGTTCCAGGGCTGCTTCTTGTTTCCGTGCATCTTACTTGTGGTTCTTGCAGTACCCTGGGCTGTGGCAGGGCTTCTTGGTGAACCTCAAGAAGCAGAAGCAAGCAAGTAAACAAGCCAGAAGCAGCATCAGATCGGCAGCGGGTCAGGAAGCTCTGGCCCAAAAGCATGGTGAGAAGGGCTTGCTTTTGCCAGCTTTATACAAAGGAGCTTCTTGGCGCAAAGGGCTAGATTGGGCACAATTCATCAGTAGCATGGAGCACCCAAAGATCTGTTGAGGTGGCAGAGTATAATGGGACTATTAGGACATAGATGTGAGGGTATAAGCAGATGGATGAGTTGAAGCCTCCCAGCTTCGTAAGTGTGGATGGATTGCCAAGTGCACAAATTTTATCATGGGACTTCGGGGGCACTTGTAATGGTTATAACTTTTGACACAGATCATAAGTCTCTTTGTTCAGTGCCCTGGTAACTTCAGCCGTTGAACAAATTATTGTAATTTGAAGACTACCTATATTCAGTTTGAAAGCACAAAAGATATTTCAAATCCAACATAAATATACTTGTACAATTCAGAAGCTCCTTAAACAAGTTGCACCTTTCCCATAGAAATTAAAGACAAATTAATTTATGGGACCTGTTTATAAACTCTCCAGAGCAGCGGTTGCCAACCGGTGGGCCACGGCTGTGAGAAAATTTTGATGGTCCGCAGAGAAATCTCACCCTCAGAGCACCCCCCTCAAAGCAATTAATCCAGGCTGCGCAGAAACACAAGGCTGCGCTGCCCACATGGCCTGCGGGAACCCTCCCTGCCCACTCACTCCTTACCCAGCAAACTTGCCTGCTAAATTGCTATTTTTCCTTTTTCCGACCATCAGCTGTTCTGCTGTGCCGGGAGATTTAGATTAGCTAGGAAGCAGTAAATGGATGGATTTCTTGCTTTCTGGCTAGTCTTTAGATCTTTGGCTCTGCTTTTAAGCACAGCTGAACCTCCCTTAGGACTGAAGGTTCTATTATTCAGTGCAGATTCACGGCAAGCAAATTTGAGAGACTGAGCTAGCCAATGGCAGATAGATCATTGAATGAATCTGTGATTCTGTGAACAACTCAATCTGTTTGCCTGCTTTGCCTGAGTTTGGGTAAAAGTTGCTCTTTTATTATAAAAATTTCAATATTTACATACATGGTATGTTGTGAGTTAATTTTGTGAGTTTGCTTGCTAGCAAATTTTATGAGTTTGCTTGCAAGCAAATTTTATGTGACAGATTGAGCTAGCCAATAGCAGATAGATAGATCTCTGAATGAATCTGTGATTCTGTGAGCAATTCAATCTGCCTGCCTGCTTTGCCTGATTTTGGGTAAAAGTTGGTCTTTTTTTATAAAAAAAATCAATATTTATATAAAAATTTGTATTTACATACAAGCCATGCCCAGCCATTCACATGACCAAGCCTCACCCACAAATTAGGCCATGCCCACAGAACCGGATAGTGGTCCCTGGGATTTAAAATTATGTGTTTGGTGGTTCCTGAGGTCCAAAAGGTTGGTGACCCCTGCTCTAGAGTATACACATATGGGGGGGGGAGGGAGAGAGAGAGAGAGAAAGAGAGAGAGAGAGAGAGAGAGAGAGATGACAAAAAGCTTTTGCCCCAGAAATGATCATCAGAACATTTACAAAAAACAATTCTTTATGATTGCTTAATCCTGCAGAATTGTACTGATCTTTTATAGTATATCTATCAAGGATTGTACATATTCACCACTATCACTTCATACTGGGGAACCTCAGGTACTGGTTAACAAGTTGAGAATGTCCTTGCTTGTGTAAGTAGCATCTACAGAAACAGTCTAATTGTAGTAGGCTAATTTATTTTCAAGTGTATCTGTGGAACCTCAATCATCTAGGGCAGGAGTGTCAAACTCGCGTTGTCACAGAGTCGTCACATGACGTATCGCAACTTTTTTCCTGTTTGCTAAACCGGGTGTGAGCATGGCCAGCGCATGATGCATCCAGCCATGGGCTGAGAGTTTGATACCCCAGGCAATATTTTTTTCCAAGGCCCACATGAGAAACTGGGATTGTTGTGAAGTGCTGAACCAATGTAACTTAATTTGATGTTCTCAAGCTCCATCAGTTCATCTCCTCAGGCTGCTCCAGAATAGGGACGAGTGCTGGGCAGCACAGAAAAGTGCTTTCTCTCCAACTGACTGATGGAACACGAAGCGACTGCTTTAAAGCCAGACCTGACTTGGCTTCTTCTCCTGCCTCATGCAGAATGCTTTTTACATTTGATTTCTTATTTCCGATTAATTTCATGAGCGCCAGAAAGCAACAGCCAAAGGGCCAGATGTGGCCCGGGGGCTGTAAACTGCCCAGGTCTGATCTAGGGTCTACAAATCTTAATGCTTTCTTGTACTGCTTTAGAGAAGTTTAAACCTAAAACTGTAAGTGGAGTTTAATAGTTAATATTCCACAATTCACAAATGTCATTGTTCAATAAAGGTAGTCCTTGATTTACAACCATTCATAGTTATAATGGCACTAAAGTAAAGTGACTTATTACCTGTTCTTGCACATACAACCATCACAGCATGTCCATGGTCATGTGATCAAAATTCAGGCAACTGGCAACCAGCATGTATTTATGATACTTGCAACATCCCAGGGTTAAGTGATTGCCATTTGCAACCATCCCAGCCAGCTTCTGACAAGCAAAGTCAAGGCAGGAAGCAACGGTGGCAAAAAGAAAAAGTCATAAAATCGAACACAATTCTCTTAACACCCACCTTACTTAACAATGGAAATGTTGGTCCAAATGTGGTTGTAAGTTGAGGACTAGCTATAAAAGGTGTAAAATCATTTTTCTCCTACGTTTAGAGAACAAGCACAAGGGGAGACTGTATAGAAAGCTGAATGAAATATGTACATTTATATTTGCAAAACATCAAAGTTTCGCATCAAAACCACTGTTTTGGAAAACATATGTGAAATATGTCAAAGATAATAAAGAGTTGATAAACAAAGCAGCTGATAAACAAAAATTAACAGGCCAGACAAATACTATGGGTTTACAGAAGTGTTTGCAGAATCTAAAGCTCAAATTGCCAATGTCTTAAATGCTTTTACAACATTTAAAGATCTTTTATCGCAGGTTTGAAATAAAGGGTGATCTCAACTTCTTTTGAAATAAATTTAAAAGGTACAACATTGAGAGATATAGTCCTTATAATCACAACTGCAACTGAAATTTATGTTGTTAGTCACTGCAGTCATAAAGAGAGTCAGTTCTGTTTTCACAACTTATATAGCAGTCATTAAGTGAATCCAGCTTCCGCAATTG